ATAGGATTCAGTAACATAAGGCACATGTGGAGCAGTAACTAATAAACTAGTCAAACCAGGACTACTATAATGAATCTGATCCTCACTTGTGAAAATGTGTCAGACTTTATTTTAGTTCTATAGTCCCTTCAAGACATAAATGATCATGGCTTTTCAGATTCATTATTTTCATATTTGTAAAGAATGCATTGCCATGATTATTTTGGAGAAAGATAGTGGAGTGGTTTCCCATTGCCTTCTTCAAGTTTTGAATTCAGATTTGTCCTGTCCTGGGTATGACAATAAACTATATCCATGTCCTGGGTAAGACAATAAACTACATCCAACAGCAAGGTCTCTGATCTGGAGGCTTTAAGGAGCTTGGAACCACCTCTTAGTTGATAGTATTCCCAGGTCCACTCTGACCCAGGGTGGTAGCATCTGTTAGGGTTCCAGCTATGGGCAAATAGTTAACCCCCAAACTGGGGTCAAAACACTATGAAAGTATTAAAATAGGTTTTAATATCAGGAATATGTTTTTGTAAAAAAAAATTTACTAGCAATAAATTTTTGATAAAAAAAATATTAGCAACAATACATTTTTGAAAAAAATATTACCAGCAATAAAAATCCTGTCGGCATTAAATAACCCATTGAGATTGATATGCCATAAAACAAACCAAACCAAATGAGATTTGTCCTCCAAGACTGGTTGCAGATCAATGTTTGATCTGGGTTTTTATGGCTCAAATCAAAATGTGTACAAAAAAAAAAACATTTATTCTCAAGTTCAAGGTATCAATTTGAACTTCAATAATCATTCATAAATTGATATTTCTAAATCAAGTTAGTAAAATGTAGCATTTCCTGCAGAACTTGAATCTAATTCAAGGGTAAAAAGCATTCTTGCTAAATCAGCTTTTTTTTTCAGTTCCTTGGGTTACTTTGCATAAAAACTAGAAGCAACTGATTTGTTATGTTGAAAAATGGAGTGTTGAAGGAATAAATGTCGTTTTTGAGACTCAATCCACAAAAATTAATTTGGTCTCAACAACAACAAAAAAAATAAAAACATGCGTGCACACACACACACAAAGTAACCAATTTTTAACCTAGCCCTTAAAAATGGGACTAAATTATCTTGAAAAAAAAAAAAATTCTGCCATTAATGATTTTAAAAAAATTCACATAGTATTAATGATATAAAATACTTATAGTATATTGTATAATCAATACTATGTGAATAAGTATCATCAATACTATGTTTCAGATTTTGCAATTTTTTTTCCACTTGTTAATTTTCCAACATTTCATCTATTTTGGATACACTTTTGAAAAATATTTAACGATATAATTTGAAATTGTAGAAAGGTAATTAGAGTGCCAGAAATTAATATATTATGCCAACCTTGTTATTACTAAGAAGGAAAACAACTTCCATGTCCAGGAACTCCAATCTGGTTTTAACATTAAACATGCTTGTTGTAAAACTCAAGAATATACAGAGCTCTATTCAAAGATGTATAAATAGTGTAAACTGTGCTCGAGTTGTGATCATACATTTTTATATGCAAAATAAAAATACCTTTAATCGAGCAATAGGAAAGCGTGAATTGCCTAATAATTTTCATATCAAGAATTAACCAACTCCTGTACAAAGTTCGTAGATATAAAGATATTTGCTTTTACTCAAATTTTTTTTTTCTCACTTGCGACTTCATTTTGCCTGGACAAACCAAATACAATTCCCGTTAACAATTTGATCTTTGCCAGCCTTATGATCAAAACCAAACACATGGGATAAGGCAAGGATTGGGTTGAAGTGGTCAACTCTGTGATCAGCCACAGGGATTGGATATTGGACAGACTGACAGAGAAGAAGGCTACACATGCACAATGTGAATGGTCATCAATTTCAAAAAAACTTTGGGATTTATCTTTTAATAGTTTGACAGATGAGATGTTCAAAAACCTACAGCTGGTTCCAATAATTTGTCACATTGATTTTTTCATTGCTTTCAATTGATCCAAGTGTTGAAGGCTAAAAAACAACTGAATGTAGACCTGGTTGTTACACATTTTGTGTAACATTCTACACAGTTTGAAATTTGACTATGCTTGAAAATTTTGAATTACACACTTAATTCTTACTGCTACACATTTTAGTTACCTTAACAACTCATGGTTTGTGGATGTCACAAATTCTTGACTGCTGCACCTTTTCTGTGAAGTATAATGGATTTAATGAACAGAACTACAAATAGAAATTTTCACAAAGACTACACATTTTAGCTAACCCTACTATTCATGGCTTTTGTTACACATAGCACAGAACACAATGATGTTATTTTTTTCAGTTCATCTAGTTTAGCATTCAGCTCCTCTTCCAATTTTGATATTTCTATGGACTTGTCCTTGCATGGCATTGGACTTTGCTATAAGTGTGAAGTTCTGAGTCTACTCAGCTTTCTCAGCATAGCTGTCAGCTGACTTGAGCAAATCTCGTGTGCATCTTCCAAGCTTGTCTTTTTTGGTCTTTAATTTCCATAAGCACAGATTTCTGTTTTTGCCCAGCTGCTTCTTTCTTCTCAGCCTCAAGGTATTTGGTTGTATGCTGTTCTGACATTGGAAGCTTTGCAGAGAAGAGCTTTAGTCATGGGAACATTCCTAGCACCTCCAACTGTGGCCAAATAGTCTAATGCACTGTGCAGCCAGTCTTCATATTGCCAGTGAAAATTTTCTTACTGAAAAACTACTCTCTATTGAGAAAGTACCAGCAATCTGCAAACAACTTTCCAGTTTTTGATATTCTTTGTTGCTAGACAAAGAGCAGAACAGTGTCAAGATGGTTTCTATGCTTGCTGAAATTCTTGAAAGCAATATTTCCAGTAGCCTCCTCTTCAAACTCTTTGTACTGACGATGTCATCACAATCAGACTTGCTGACATTTTTCTGTCCATCATGTGGGAAAGACTGTCTTCTGTGGCAAAAGTGACCTTACAAAAGGGAATCTAAGGGGAGAATTTACCAAGTTTCTCGATGATGGTGATGAACATTGCATGCAGAATTACAACAAAGACAAACAGATCTTTTGTAGACACATTTTTTTTTTGGATAAATTTTGCATAGCCCATTCACTCGATCTTTGCAGTATCTTTATGCAATTTGTGGTTTGACAAAATACAAATTCATTCAGTTTGGAAAATGTAATTATCTTTTTAGCATGCTCTTCCTTTACAAATCAATTTCATGATCATGCTAAAAAGATCATCTGCAAGGAAAGAAAGCAATGGTTTATCACTGATATTTTATCAGAAATGGTTCAATGTCTTTTGAAAGGCACAAATCTACACTTTCACTGGAAATAAAATGTCATTCACATTTGATAGTAATGCAGAGGACTTGGTCTGATGACATTTTTCTTTTTTTTAATTCACAAATTTGATGACATCAGGCCAAATGTCTAGGAGTCGTTTACATGTGTGTACATTTTCTATCTAGCCATCTATGGCAGAAATACAAAAGTAAAGGGAGTTTTAACTTTTAAAATAAAGCCAAATAAGTTTTAATATATCATTTTTTACACAGCAAAACATACAGGTCATTATTAGCCTGCAAGCTTTAAAAATAACATTATTTTTTTAAGAAGCATTTTCTATCCTAAGACACATCAAAGGCACCACATTTTCTGTTCTATCATCTACATTTTTTCCCATCTACATTTCGAGTCAAATTTGATTCTCAGACTTGTTACTTTTGGCAACAATTTAGATAAATGCAGTTTACACATTAGATACTTTATGCATTGTGTCAATGTGTATATTTTTTCAGCATGAACTCACCCACCACTGGCTAGAAATCAAAAGGACTTTTTACTTTTGAAATTGACACATGAATAACATTTCTTCAAATTTTAAAAAATACTAATAAATCTTTGGAGATCCTACTAAAATGTATTTTATTACTGTAAAATAATTTATTATTTTCTTACAAATTCAATGAGTGAATTAATTTCTTTGATGGAGATGTTTACTCGTCTCTGATGCCTTTTATCATTACTATTCTTCTTTTCTTGTAGAGCGAGAGTAGCAGCTAGAAGACACGCCTTCATTTCTCCTTTCTTGTCACGTAGACGAGAAAATACAGAAGTAACTATTAGGTCATGACCTTGTTCTAATCAAGGAAACAAACCACCATTTGCAATAATTGCCAAATATTACTGACAACAAAAAAAAAAAAAAACTTAAGACAATTTTTAGCTTATAAAAAAGCCAGATTTCTGGAATTTGGCATTTTGGTTTTCATGAATTGCGAAAAGGAATATGTGGGTAGCCCAATTTAGAAAATTCCAGGACTTTTCAAGGAACTTTTGGTCTGTTTTTCCAGGGCTTTTCAAGCCCTGGAAATGCCATGTCAATTTTCCAGGACTTTTATGAACACTGGGCTTTTGAATTAAAAAAGGTGTTAAGTTTTTGCTTTAAGAATCCTTAAAATGTCAATAACATGCAAAAATAAAAAAAAAAAACAATTCAAGTCCAACTTGATAAATCTACAGCAAAAAGTTTACAGCCACAGAAAAAAAGATGTTGAATTAAGAACATTGTTATCAGAACTTTGTTGCCAAGATGAAGTGCTGTCATTATTCCAGAACTTATTTCATCTATTTTTCTCATCTTTGTTATTTTGATCAATCTGTTCTCCAGCATTTTGTTGCATCAAATTGCTCATTCTGTTGAGAATTTTTTCTAGATTTTGTCCAATTAGATCGACAAAGTTTAACCTAGACTTGAAATTTCAGAAAATGCAAGATGTAAACAGGCAATTTAATTATAGACATTATAAATATTTCAAGTCAATAAAGGACAATTGAAAAAAAATAAATAAAAATTGAAGAATAGAATTTTTAAACACTACAAACAATTGTTGAAAAAAGTTTATTTTTTTGTTACAAGAAATTTGCATCATATGAATTGCAAATAAAATGTCAGAACTTTCTAATCAAGATGCTGAATGTTTAGCCCTCATTTGTCTGATGATGATTGCTTCTCTGATGATTTGCTGTAGGAACTTTCCTTCCAATCATCACCACCAGCAGAAAGATCAGACGTGCCACCTGCAAAGGGAGAAGGCAAAACAAGTATCAGAAACAAAACAAACAACACATAAATTCACTTTAAAGAAAATTTAAGTTTTCATATAAATTCAGTCCCTTCTGTACAAATAACACTTGAAGACTAAGTTCAAATCAATTTCAAATATCCTTGTAAACCCCATTCTTCAAATTCTTAGTTTTTATTAAAGCAACATGAAATTTAGGTAAAACTTCCCATCTTCAATCTTAGCTTCAAACTGAATAAAACTTTCTTCTTGGCAAATAACAGATCAATTTTTCATACAAAAATTGAAGATATACCTCCTCTTCCTCGAGCACGACTTCTTAAACCAATATGACCCCGAGAACGTGTGCGGAATCTTCCAAGACCTCTAGCTCCAAATTGTCGACGACTAGTGGAACCCGGGGTTGTAAGTCGTGGTTTGAATGTACCACGAGATCGGAATGGCCTGAAGGGACGACGAAGGATACCACCTCGAGAACGGAACCGGCCAATGCCTCTACCTCGATTTGGCATCACATCTACCTCAGGCCTTGTATCATGCTGGGAAGAAGAAAAAAAAGAAGAAGAAAAAATACATTAAGGTGTCATCAAGTAATACAGCTATAAATGGGCAAAGCATTACACCTTGAGGATAGTAACAGGGGGTAGGTAAGAGACAGAGAGAGAGAGACACACACACAGTTATGTTTATCAAAACCCATGGAAATTCTATTGTGTATTCTTTATAGTTTAGAACACAAAATAAGATATTAAGAGAAATATTTTCAGTTTTAAGTAGAAGCTTAGCTATATTGAACTTGAGATTCTATAAATAAACAAAACTGGAAAACAATTTTTCAGTCTGTAGAGTTTCTTCTCCGTTTGCAAACACTGAATTTATTGCTAAACCTCTGGCTTTTACAAATATCAGCCTTTTCTCATCCAATTAGAATTGTGAATGGATTCCTTGATAGAAAGATACATTGTTTCAATTGTCACAACTTATTTTGAGGTAGTGTAGGAAGTTCAACACACTGACTCAATAGATATGCACGGAGAGAGTATATACAGATGCTAGAACATCTATAAAGCAATAGGTGAAACATTCTGAGAGTTCAAGTTAAATAATGTTATTAAAGATTGCAAATAAACTAGGATCAGTGAAGACATCTAATGCAAATGACTGTTCATCCCTTACCTCATAATAGTTACTGCCACGAGGAACCATCTCTGGATGTTCTCTCCATTCTTCATATTGATATTTATCTAGAAACATATAGAGATTCATATATAACCTGACATTAAAAAAAAAAATCACTTAAATATTACAACTGAAATTAAAAAGATAGCATTTAAAATAATTTGAGTGAAAAAAAAAAAAATAAAATAAATAAAAGTGTGCAAAGCGCCTCACTTCCATAACTGAGTTGAAATCCATAATTACCTTAGAAATGTAAAAATCAATAGAATTTTAATTAACATAAATTCTTTCCCGTAAACACTCAAGAAACCTATTTTCTTTGTTGATAATGTTGCTGATCAAATGTATTTTAGGGAGACATTAATTTGGATATATTTTTGTAAATATCAATTCCATTTTTTTTTTTTTGTTTGGTATGTCTTTGGATGAGAAGAAGCAGCAAGAATGACAAATATATCAGTTCTTTTTTTTATGGCTGAAAAGCAAAAGTGTTATTATAAACAAAACTAATGTGAATTAAGTCCTTGCAACAAATTGGAGAAAAGGAACACAACATACCAGGCCTCTTAGAAAAATCTGGCAAAATCTCTGGAGAGTTTTTGGAATATTTTGATTCTGCAAAATGAAGGAGATAAACGCATTGAACAGTAACTCTGAATTCAATGGCTGTATCAGTATTGACTGCAAGAAGAAGATTAATGAAGTAGAGAAAGAAATATTAAAGAAAAAAAATTTAATTACCATAGCAAGTATTTTTTTCAAAACAAAATTAGACTATAAACACTGCCAAGAGAAAAACGAAAGTCTTTCTTTTAAAACAATTATCACCAATAAAAAGATCTCAAGCAGGAAATGAAAATAATGTTTTGAATGTTACTGAATTCTGTATGACTATGTAGTTATTCAAATCCTCTGCTGATCAGAGGGAGTGAAAAGAAAATATATTCAACTGTTGGATAAACAGACAAAGTTCTTTTGAGCTTATAGGGATTTGTTTTTCATCGTTTCAAAACCAGTCAGAACCAAGTTAAGCTCAAAACTTTTTTAAAAGCTAGTTGTTTTGGTTTCAGATATTTTATGGTATTGTAACAAAATCCTCCTTATAAACAGTAGACAGATGTTTAAACAAATTTGTAAGCTTGCAAAACAGTACAAGAAAAGTCATGTAGCTTTGGATCCAAGAACAGTGATGAATCTATATCAGTCAGTGTTAATAGTGAACAATATAGATGAAGAAAAAGAAGCAACCTAAACATTGATGTCACTTGATTTCTTTTGCAAAGTTATTTTAAATGAATATATATTTCCAAAAAATTTGATACATGAAGAGATACAAAAACAAAAGAAAAAAAAGAAATTGATATTTTGCAATTAAGAGAAATATTTGAGGATTCATTGACATCACCCTTTTGAACATTGCAAAAGACTAAGGTTCATAATGATAATTTCTGATTTTTTATCAAGTCTTTTCTGAAAGAGAAGTGATCTGTGTCTGAAAAGAATAGTCCCAAACATTTATCAGGGGAGAAATTGAAACTATCTGAATTTTGACAGCCCAGAGTATAGACATTTTATATTATTTAGCTGTTCAATTCCATTAATTTCAAGCTTCCAAGATCAATAAATAAAACAAATGGTTGAAACTGATAAAAATTAGATGAAGCCAGCAAAATCCGAGTTTTTCAGTTGCTTTTGGTAACGGCTGAATAAAACTTGATCATTGTGAGAGAGAGCAAAAGATTTTCATTGTTTTATGTGTTTGAATAACACCAACTCATACATACAGGATCTTATTTTGAAATATATTAGATCATCAGATCATTGCAATAGTCAATCTTGTATGTGTGTGTGTGTGTATATATATAATATATATATATATATATATATATATATGACAGATACCTTTTCTTATTGTAGAGAGAACACATGTCCTACTCAGCTGGAAGATATTGCTTATATAATTCCATGCAAGGTGAAGTTTTGGATGCAGAATACATCTAAAAGATGATAGTATTTGCATGTATTATAGAGTTGTTCTCAACAAATACATTGTACTGATAGAAATTTATATTGTAGGCACTGCAGATTTTTCAAGTACACTGATATAAAGATGAGCAGTAACATTTTATGAATCATCATCAACTGTTGTTGGTTGCTTAAGATTCCAATTAAAAAAAAAATCATTGTGCTCTTCATGAATAAAAACTGCATCAGTTTTTTTGGTTGTTGTTGTTTAGGAAGACAGAAACAACTTTTGTTTCTTGTTCTTAAAATAAATAACTTTTTTTGCCACTCAATTTATTCTGCAGCAATTCCATTTCCTCATTAAGTGGATCATATGGATTTGAGGTAAGACTGTTTCATTTTTGGTTGATCACTGATCATTTTCAAAGGAATGATTATTTGTGAGTTAGTCGCATCTGAAGAACATTTCAAGACTATCTTCCATTACTGGTCAAAAAAAGTTTTCACATTTGGTTTGGTTTTAATTATGGAATGAGATTATCTTTCAGATTCCAGTTGTAAATCATTCCGATTTGATCCAAGGCAATTCTCATCAAACTTTCAGCATTTTGGAAAAATGCCTTCCCAAGATTTAATCACTTGAGGATTTTCTCTTGTTTATCATTTTTCCCCCACACTATTTTAATCAGGAATCTTAAAAAAAATTATCTTTCAGTCATGTCGTTTTCTGGTGTTTTTGTGAGCATTTCTTTCTCTTTACACACATTTTAATGTCAGCACAAACCTTATCCTCTTTGCCATGGACCAAAGCCATTGGGAGATTTCCATACAAATGTTTTGCTGGTCTAAGTTGGACACTCTTACCTCTTCCTTTCTGCTCATAGTCTCGATTATAATAACTTCCTTCTGGAAAGCCAGATTTTTTCCTGAAGACAAACAAAAAAAACTTTTTAATGTGAACAAACAAGTTTTTTGTTCTAAAATATTCTAATACACAAATAAAGAGAGAAAGAGAATGCTATAAAGAAAAGAGGCTTATGACATTCCAAGTTTGAAGAAGTTGGATTTCATCCCTAAAAATTTACAATTTACAAATATTTTCATTAGCAATTACAATGCTGAATAAACTATTGGAAAATAGAAAGCTAATTTGTTATTCTGGTTTAGTTATTTATTAAACTTTTATTTGCAGCACAAAGTTACATACATGGGGCACCTTGTGAGGTACAAACTCACTACTCAGTAGCAATGATTTGTAAAACCATTCAGATAGTCACATGAGAAAAACATCCTTGTTATTCTGATTTTAAAAGAGACATTAACTTGAAAGTAACATGTTAAACAGGTAGAGAGTTTTTAAATTATATTTATAAGAAATTGGTGAAATTTTACAATTCAAACTTTTTAAAGCTTCACTAAGATTTAAAAATGGATTGAATTTCAATATTCAGTTTAGTAACCATCTCTGAACAGAGTTAATTTTTATAGTTGGCATTAAGAACATAACACTGTGGCTAGTATAGTTATTTTAGATTGACTAGTGATCAAAATTTAAGGAAAGATTTTTGTAAAAAGAAGATTCTACTACATTGTACTGAATAAAAATGTAGGTGAAAAATTGAAAAAGATTAAAAATCTTTTAAGTGCTATAAAAATTCATTTTGATTAAAAGTTCATATAAGCAGGAGAGATGGTTTGAAGAAGTATGAATGAAGACAATGAAACTAAACTGAAGAGTTTAAATTAAAATTTCCCAATGCTCATAACAACAGTTGATTTTCATTTTTCTTTTTTTTGGCTGTCATTTTCTGCTGATGATAAGAGTAATCTAGTTGGCAGTATTTGATTGGCTAATAGGAAAATCTCATGTAATCATTGACTAATTAAAGAAACCTGAATAAGTCTCTCTCTCTCCCTCCATAAATATTATGAAAAACAAAGTATCAAGGTTCAGAAGAGCAATTACCAAAAATTGCTGCCAGAACATGTGTCTGTTTATGTGCCTGCTAATTGTTGGAACTGCAATGAAAAGATAGGTAAGTGCCTGCTTTGCCACTGGGAACAACTGTACTGTAAAGACAACCAGCCAAAGTTCTGAAACCATTCTTCCTTTTCAAGACACCCTAAAGCTATCTATGTTTTACTGGCTGATTAAGCTTAAGATTTTATCATCTGCCAATGTTCTTAGTTGTTCAATTCCAAAAGTTGTAGCAAAGGTCCACTCAGTATAGTTGCTGTATAAAGAACAGGTTTACTGCCTGGATGTTGAAAAAACAAAAATGTGTCTGAGCAGGCATCTGTAACAGGATTGGCTAACCACCCTAGCAGACAGGCATACTCAATATATATCTCTTACACTCACAGTATGATAGATATATTACGTATTTCCAGAGACCAAGCTTTTTGAAATTGACATGTATGCGTAAGAGATCCATTTAAATCAGGTAGGAACATTCTATTTTCATAAATTTTAAAGGAAAAGCTAAAATTAAGATATGAAAATTATTTTCTCCAATATATTTTTTTTCAGTTAAAATAATTTAAATATCAATAATCAATAAAAATAAAATTTGATTGCCTGATATTGCTGCATTTAAAAAATTATAGAAAATCAACAAATATAATAAAACCAGAGAATATAGTAGCTAAAATATGACCAAACAACAAAGTCTGAACTAAGGGAAATCCTATGATAAAAATAACTTATTTAAGAAAAAATATTCAGACTAGAACTATCAAAATGGAGTTGACATGACACATGGAAAAAATCCAAGAAGTAACATTAATTTCTAACTTCCCAGTATTTCTCTACAAATACAGAGAATAAAAGTTCATTTCAACTGTGGCTTAAATATCAAAACGTCACTAAACATGATGAAGACATATGTAACTGCAAAAGACCAGTACAGGGCCTCGGTCAAAGAAAGAATACAACATATTTGATGAATAGAAGACAATCTCTAACTACAAAATATTACAGACATAAATAACCATAAATATCAACTAAGTACTGAGAAGGAAGTGGTGGTAGTGCTAAGAACTAAAGGACCCAAATTTGCAACTACCAACAAACAAATGTCATGCAAGAGAAGAGAGATAGACAAAAAATAGAAGGGCAATGAGGTTGTAGGGTGTAAATAGAAGTATAATCCTACTACCAAAAGCAGTACAACAACTGTGATGGACAAATTGCAGTATTAAAAAGAAAGGATGGCAACTTTTGAAAAAAGATCCAACATTAAAAACCAAAATTCTACAAAAGTTGGATCATTTGAACATTACTTAATACAAGCAGTTGAATCAACCACACCCCACATTTGATTACACCTGCCCCAAATCCATAATGTAGGTATTTCTTTGATGGCTAGGTCACATACATCGACTGCATGACAGCCATATATGTACAATGATCTGGCCAAAGGACACCCTCTGATAGGCCACCCTACACTACATTTCGAGGACGTTTGCAAGAAGGACCTGAAACTCAGGCATCAACTCTGGTAGCTGGGAACAGTTAACAGATAATCACAGCAGCTGGTGCCATGCTGTTCAGTGAGTCACAGAGGCCCAAGGAAAAGATGAAACCAACTGTTGGAGACCAGAAGACAATGGCAAAAGCAGAGAGATCAATGTCAGACCTTCATTCCACATTCCAGCTTTGTCTTTCACAATTGCAGAAGAGTGCCATGAAAAGATTGGTCCATTAAGCCACTCCAGACTAATTGCAAAAGGACTGAATGTTTGACTAAAGTGGGTGTAACCATTATCTTGTGAGATAAATGGATGCCAGCTACTAGGTATTTCTTCAAGATCCATTGTCAGCATACCATGAATTTAGCCAACTCTTGATAAATTTCAATCCTATCTAAACAACTCAACACACTTTGCAGAAATAATTAAAAATACTCATTTAATACCATTCAGATGGTGAGCTTTCATGTGAACCTGTCCAAAGTTCCTACAGATGAGATGAGGCCCTGTCAATGGTTAAAGAAAAACTGGAATCTAACCCAACACTTAGGGAATATTCCAGTAGACAATCTCATTTTATGTGCAAAATGCACTCTTCCAATTAGGTTCAAATCTTCAGGTTGTTCTGAAAATAATATCCGATTTTAGAATTGACTTTTATTTCTGAATTAATGTACTTAAATCAGTCAAAATAGGAACCCTGAACATCTATACAATTTTGCCATTGAGTTACAAGGTTATTTATGCCTTTATAAGACTCTAAAGGTTTCGGCATCAAGAAATCTTTGAATGCAGTTACTGCATCTTCTTTGCAACAGAATATCTTTTGACTTAAAAAATTGTCAAGATGTTTGAAAAAGTATTAGTCAGTGAGCAGGAGACCAGGAGAATATGTTAGATGTGGCAAAGTCTCATATCCCAAGTCAGTGAGTGTTACCCTGGCAATATGTGGTGAGCATTGTCATGAAGCAGAATTGACCTCATCATCTGACCAGTGCCAGTTGTATTTTGCTTAACTGAATGTGCATTTCATTCAGTTACTGGTAATAAACTTTTGATGCACTGGTTAAATTCCAGAAAGCTGTCATCTATAACATCAATGGCAGACCAACTGATGGTTACCATAAATCTTCTGTTGGAACAGTTTTAGTTTTTGGGGGCTTTGTTATAGTCACACTATTTACAATTGTCATAAAGCAGTGGTTTTCAATCTTTTTTGCCCAATGCACTCTTTTTACCATATACTAGAATGTCCCCACTTCAAGATTGACACAAAAGTTGCATTCCAAATAATATGCCATATATACTTGAGTATAATGCAGGTTTTTACAATGTCTTTTTTTATGCAAAAAATAAGGGGCCACATTATACACAAGTAATTTTTTAAAGAGATTAAACACTCATTTTGGGCTCCAAATTATGTAAATAGAAACAAGAAAAAGTACCCCCACTTGAAACCAGGGGAATTCTCTCCTGGTTGAAAACCCCTGCCATAAAGGACCCATTTCTCATCACAATCATCCGAGACATTTCTCTGACATATAGATGTGAGTTTTGTTCGAGTAGTATTTTCAGGTGTTGAGTATCAATTGCAGATAGACATCCTACACAATCTTGACTTTCAAGACTCATATCCTTACTGCAGAATTTCAGAAACCAGCACTGTACTGTCCAATCACAAGTGGATCCTTCACACCAGGTTCTGTTAATGTTGGCAGCAGTTTGTGACACTATAATTAAGCTTGAACTTATGTAAAAAAGTAAATGCATCTCCTTTTTGTTTTTTTACATGTTCGAGAGGTATATATTTGAAATATGATACACATAAAAATTAAGACTAATATAAAATTAACAAAAAGGACACTAATCATTAGGAATGAATAATAAATTTTTGTGCAACTATTATAATACTATATTAGAACACAGTTAAAAAGGTTTATTCTAAAATCGAACATTTTCCAAACAACCTAATAAAATCCCTACTGGAAGAAAATATGTCAATGCATTTATAATATTCTATGAAGTTGTGTCAGAAAGTAGAAAGGTGAGAGAATGGTCTAGAATAAAAACTCAAGGAACATGACAAAACTATGATAGATGGAGACAATTTTAAAGATCAGATGGAAGTATAACAGCCTTTATGAAAGGAAGTCAAATAGGAATTCAGCACATATCCTTGCTCAAATTATTAATAGACCATGGAAATTACTAGTCAAGAAAAAAAAACAAAACAAAAACAAACATGAATTTAAGTCACACTTTCAGCATGTTGGTTTGAGGCTAACCAGAACTCAAAAGATATGGGCACCAGATATGACCAATAAGAAAGCAAAAGCAAATCCAAACCTCTAATCCACCAACCCACACACCCACACCTAAGAGGAAAGAGTACAGCACTCAAAAATAAAACCTATATCTCAAGGACAAGGGGTGTAACAACAAACTGTGATAAAAACAACAACAAAGACAAGAAAATTTAGTTTAAACTAACCAAATTTTTTTTATCAGTGATGGTATTTATGAAAATTTTACATGTTTAAAAAAAAAAAAAAAAAAATTATTTGAAATGTTCAAAACTGAACATCTTTTTTCTCCATAAAGATCTTAAATTTTTAAGTGTATAAATTTAGAATGAATGGAGGCCTTGTTGTGCAATAAGCAAATATTTCCTCTCTTTGAGCTTTTAAAGTTTGTCACTGCAATGTCTTGACTGTTTGAAGCCATTCTGAATCCCATGATACAAGATATTTTAGACAGACATCAATATGGAGAGGAGAAATGCTATTTCCAACTGGCATTAACTAATATCTATTATATATCCATAATAATATCAAATATAAAATCAAAATATGAAGAAAATGTAAAATTGTATTAAAACATTTTCAGGTGTCTTTAGCAACATTTCATTTGGAAAATTAGTGAAAACTGTTTTGCACTAATCTTGATAAAAACTCTTCTCTTCATTTCAAGGGGAAGGAAAAAAATAATTCAACTGCTAAATTGTTCCAGGATCCATAATTTTAACAAAGACAGTTGTGTGTGTGTGTGTGCACGCACACATACACAAACACACACACACACAGTGTACCCGTACTGTCAAAAATGACAACTCTTAGAAAGTTTGAGATAGTGAGATAAATGGAACAAAAGTCTTGAAACAATGAATTGAGATTCAATAAAGCAGAGATAAAGAATTCATAACAAAAAGAGAGGCCAATGAACCGTCTAATTTAAAAGTTCCCTTTATAGTTTTTAGATGTTCAATGTTATCTATGATAAATTGATTACTCCTGGCATTATATAAATAGCGTTTTGCTCAATATCTTTTTATAAGAAAAAAATTAATGCATTTAAGATAACAGTGAAATATAAATATTTCTCCGAAGAGAAAGATTGGCAACAGAATGACAAAGATGGAGATAACAAAGCCTATTTTTCAAGACTAAGTTGAAGCAACATGATCACTTAATATACAAAGGTATCAGAGTACCTCACATGAAAAGCTTGAATAAATAAGACAGCACTCTAAGAAATGTAGGAGTAAAGGAAATGATTAATTAAACGGTTCATTTTGATTAGAACTAATTTTGTCTAAATGCATATAAATATTTTATTTATATATATTATTAAAATAATTAAGGGAAGTAATCACTCAAAAATTTACTAACTTAAGTTGATTTACCTCCCTCCCCACTACAAAGGCGATAGGAAATATATAAATACACATTGATAATTATGATATGGTTTAATTTAATTCAAATATGATAAAAATATAGTTTTAAGGTATGCTATATTTATGGGTTAAAGTGCTGAATACAATATCAAGGATGGACTGTAGGTAAATGTAAAAGTGGACATTGAAATCAACACTTAGTGGCAACAGTCTGTTTCATGTTTAAATGCAATCTTCAGGCCATGTATGTTTTATATATACTGGTCAATGGTCCATTATAGGTAGGTCCATTTTATTATGCTATCAGTTA